AAAAACATTACCATTGAAATCTACCTGATGACTTTATATCCATGCTCAGAAGCCAAGGAGCTCAGAACATAACTGTCACTAGTAATAATCAGATATACAGAGATTAGAAACGCATGTGCAAACATCTTAATGTCAATTGCATTAAAAATGATTTTTTCTGTATGAAACTGTGTATTTTAATAATGAGATGGAGATCTTTTTTAAAAGGTTAAAACCTCATTTAGTTTTATAGGGTTTATACTGAGTACAATATTGTATAACTGTAATAATTCAATTGTAAACCTAAAAATTTACAGCCAATTTTGAAAGAGATGCATCTTAGTTCTGGAAACTGTTATTGAATATGTCAATGCTGTTGTAATGAAATGATTCTTCTAATTATGTGGTTATTAAAAAAATAATTTTGTTTTTTACTGTTACTAGTTATATTAATGGTTTATGGTTTTCTTCCTTGGGTCTTCAAAAGAGAATAAAATTATATGATGTACTTGGCATTTACAATTTACCTGTATTACTTAAGTTCTTAGCAATTTAGTGAGGACAAGATCATATCCCATTTTAAAGAAAAAGAAATCAATTGTGAGGAATTATGCCTATCTGTCAGCACTAACCTCAATTTTGTACCTGTATTACTTTTCTATTGCTGTGGTAAAACACCGTGACTAAGGCAGCTTGTAAAAGGAAGAGTTTATTGGGCTTACAGTTCCAAAGGGTAAAGAGTCCATCACGATGGGACAGCAGAGGTGGAGAGAGCAGAAAACTCAGCACTCACATCTTCAAACAGGCACTAGAAGCAGAGCCAGGCAAACTGGAAATGGTCAAGGCTATGAACTCTCAAAGCCCAGTAACATGCTTCCTCCAGGAAGGCCATACCTCCTAAAGGTTCCATGACCTTCCCTAAACAGCACCACTAACTGACCAAGTGTTCAAACACTTGGAGCCTATGGGAGACACTTCCACTGAAACCACCACATCACCATGTGAGCTGTCTATAGCTCTCCTTTGATGCTCTGGTAAGACAGACTAGTGGGATAAAAAACGGTTACGTGGTAAAAAAAATTACTAACAGCAGGAAATAATTTCTGGAAGGAAATATTTTCCTTCTTATACATATAGTCCTATATTCTAAAAAGTATGTAAGAAATTCCAGATTTTATTTTTAAGACTTTGTTTTAAAATATTTATATAGACATATACTTCATAATTTTGTATACTCTGGCCACTTCAGCCATAAGGGCTTCCACCAAGTCACTTGTTATGCAAGTTTGTGTGCCTGTATGCTAATATTTAGCTTTCAGATGAATAAAAACTATACCATTTTAAATAAAATATGAAAACTCAGAGAAAGTTATTTGTAAGAAAAATTATAAAGAGAGACACATCAGAAGCTTGGTATTTCAAAAGACTAAGTCACCAACAGCTTTAGGGACCTTTGTGGTGAGACTTTTATTTCAGGATCAACTTTGACAACCATTGTTTTACAGTAACAGTCAGAAGAGGACATCTACAGGCTGGTACAAAAGTTCCAACTTAGAGAGATTTTTTTTCACACATGGCTAAACTAAAAATGCCCATAGAGGAACATTAAGAATTCTACTGTAACAGACAGTACAGAATAATAACATTTTTGTGTGTACTACAAAGAGAAAGTTTATCTTCATGACTATCTGTTCAAACATGAAGATTGCTGATTGGTCAAGAGAGCTAGAGAACGAGTTTTAAAATCAAGTTCTATGCAAAGAAAAATTTCTTTTAGTCTAGGTAATCTGACCACCTATTTCCTGAGTATTACATCAATTTTTCCTTATACTACACATGAAACTATAACATTCCAGTTACTCACCTTCCTGTGATTTCAGTTCCACTTCCCCCAACTGGCTGACATAAACATCGATGGCACCCTGGTGAGTTGAGGCTCTGAGACATCCAGAGGATGAATCTGGGAGGAATGAAAACTGTAAGTATGACTTTCTTATGTGAGTAAATGGAATTACAAACGTGAAGTAGAATGCTCTGTTGTGACATCAGGATGAAAGGGTTTGTATTTTCCTCGTAGCAATGCCATCACTTCCAACAAAATGTGAACAAGCGTCAGAAATCTAGAAACCTACACCTCGACAATAAAAAAAAAAAAACTCTATATCTATAGAAACCTGAATAACATCTCTTAAAGCCTGACTATAGGAAGGATGATATGCAAGCAATGGCTCCTTGACAGCTAAGACCATTAAATGTCACTGAGGCATTTCACATACTGTCATACTGACCAATTTAAAACTTCCAGTATTTACCAAAGAATTCTGCATGTGCAGTCATGGATAGGCAGGAACAAAGTTAACAAAAATCAAAGCATCTCACATTTTCTTCTGTCAGCAAATTTTCTAAGCATTAAAGAGTACTCTTAATAGTGTAAGATTATTCCACATGAAGTTTTACTGCATTTCTTAGAGTGACAGAAAGGATGTGGTGAGGAATCACTGGGAGAGAGATTGTTTTTATATAATATTTCTTTCCAAATTTCTGGATTTGAACAGGTTATCTTCAAGTCAGGGTGAAAAATCATAATCCTTATATGACACTCAAATTGCCCTATGTTGTCAATGACCCCAGTTTTCAATCAGTCAATATTTTAAGCTCGAGGAAACAGAGTCACAGATATGGAAACAAGAGAATGACATGAGGAGTCAGTGCTAAGGGTCTCTGCTTTTCCGTCTCATGGAGACACAACCTTACATTTAGTATTCGATCTAATTAGCCTAAGGACAGAGCACATTATTTTCAGAGAAGCCTCTTTTAAAAGCATATTTTATCAAGAATTTTGACTACTTCAGCTGAGAAGCAAAGTAAGAACTGTGGTAAAAATGATGTGAAATATTATACTTTTTACAAAATGTAATGTACAAAGGAAATATTTGTGTATCTACACTGAAGATAGAAACCTTCAAGAGTCTAGCAAAAATATCATTTAGAGTAATTTGTCTCTACATCAAAATGCCCCTTACAGACCTAAATTATTAGTTTATGTGTCAAAAGTAAATACTGATGTTAGGAAATAAAGACACTGGAAAATAAAATGAGACAGCCAGACAGAGTGGCAATTTCATTGCTTGAGCACGTACCAGCAGAAATTTCTTTAAAATCGTTTACTAAATCCTAAAAGAAGCAATGTAAAGATATATTATGGTAATAAACATATGGGCTATGTGATCACGTATTATCCCAAGTTGACCTAGAAATAACACAGACTCAGAAAAACAAGCAACACAAGTTCTCTATCATTTGTGGATCTTAGCTCCAAATCCCTAAATGTTGGTATACATCCCAATATACCACAGCAGGCAGGAAAATGGAAATGAACCATGGGGATAAGAGGTAGTAGGAACTCGAGAGAGGGAGATAGTAGGAGACTTAACCTTACATGACACATCTTCAATGCAACCTCTACACTTAAGATGAATGCATCTCTTAACTCTGACAAGAGAAGTTTCTTTATGTAGCAGATAGGATTTAACATAGGGACCCTCAATTCACCAATGTGCAGAGAACAGAGGCCACAGAGTACTTATCTTTGAATAAGACAGCTACTTCAAAGCTCTGCCTTCCAAAACTCAGGGATCATTGTGGAGGAGGAGGTGGAAAGATTATAAGACAGAGCGGGTAGATGATCACAAGGAAACACAGTCTTCCAGACAGCTGGTCAGTTACTTATATGAACTCACACCAATGGTGACAGCATGTACAAGTCCTACAAGCGACAGCTTGTACAAGCATGTACAAGCTCAAACCAGACAAAATCCCAGCACAGAAATGGAGAAATAGGTTAGAAATCCCATCCCAACCCAACCTAAGGAACTTTTGGCAATTGATGGTTTCTGAGAGGTGGAAAGACAGTGTCTTACAGGGTTGGGACTCTTGGTGGGCTCAGTGGATGGATCCACACTGAAGGACATTGAGGGACACAAATCATACTCTATAGGCCATATAAGAGAGCTCATTAAGGATCCTAGCAGACAGTCTGAGACGGTGGGTTCTGACCTCCATCAGTGTAGCAGCTATGATCTCAGCAGACTGCCAGAGAGTGCTGGGCTCTGGCCTCCTTCTGGCACAGGGGCTGAGAATGCAGGGGACTGCCTGAGAGCACCTGGATCCTGCCTCCACATGGAGTTCCTGCTAACAGGGGTCCAAACCTTAGAAGGAAGCCTGAGTGTACCTGACTGGAACCTGACTTGGGCTTCTGTGGGTGCTCCTGAATAGCTGATCTTAAACCATCAGTTCCCTCCAAAATAAAATCCGAGAACTTGAAACCTGTACCAACCAGCTTTACATAATCAATAAGGAAGGGACCTAGGCACCCCGATAACACAAACAGAAGTGTACTTCAACTTAATTCTCATATCAGAATCATAAACAACAAAAGGGATTCACATGCCAAAATCACAACAAAAGAATAACAAAATGGAAAGCCAAAACACTATGTCCCCACCAAACTACACAAGTCCTGTAGGAGAATTCTACAAAGAGAACCCCCTAGAAATAACCGAGGACACTGAATTTAAAAAAACAATCAGAGACATGATCAAGGAATTCAAAGAATTTAAAGAACACATGAACAAATAAATCAAAGAACTAAAAGAAGATAGGGATAAACTTCCAAATGAATTCACAAAAGAGATAGAAACATTGAAGAAAACTCAGGAAGAAATGAAGAAGGAAATGCAAAACTCAATAAGCCAAACTGAAATAACAGGGTTGAAAGCCTCACCTCTAGAATGAATGAAATGGAAAACAGAATATCAACATTGGAGAATAAAATTGAAGAACTGGACCACTCAAGCAAAGATGATAGAAAATTTTAAAAAACACAGGAATGGAATATGCAAGAGATGTGGGACACCATGAAAAGACCAAATTTATGGATCATAGGAATAGAAGAAGGAGAAGAATTTCAGGTTAATGGTGTTGACCCGATCTTAAACAGGATTGTAGAAGAGAATTTCTGGAAATTAAGGAAAAACATCCCCATACAAATACAGGAAGTACATAGAACACCAAATAGGATCAGAAAAGAAACTCATCGCGACATACAGTAAAAACACTAAATGTACAACACAAAGAGAGAATACTGAAAGCAGCAAAAGAAAAACAAGCCACATACAAAAGAAAGCCCATCGGAATTACAGCTGACTTATCAATGCAAATTATGAAAGCCAGAAGAGGCCGGTCCAAGGTATTTCCAGTTCTATATGACAATAGATGCCAGCCCAGAATACTTTACTCAGCAAAAATGTCTATTATAGTTGAGGAGGAAAGAAAAATCTTCCATGACATGAATAGCATGAAAGAATACATGTCCACAAAACCAGCCCTTCAAAGAATACTTGAAGCAATACAGAGACAGACAGAGAAACAACTATACCCCAGGGGCAATGAAAGAAAATAAAGGTACAATTGAGGAAACACAAAATTAGGCAGAGAACACAAACATAATCAAAATGATGGGAACCAATACACATCTTTCAATAATAACCTTAAATATCAATGGACTGAACTCCCCAGTCAAAAGACATAGGCTAAGTGAATGGATAAAGAAACAAAATCCATCTCTTTGCTGTCTACAAGAAACCCATCTCACCTTCAAGGACGGGCACTGCCTTAAGATAAAAGGATGGAAAAGAATATTCCAAGAAAATGGCACTAAGAAACAAGCAGGGGTTGCAATTCTAATATCTTACAAAATAGACTTCAAAGTAAAACTAATCAGAAGAGATAAGGAGGGTCACTTCATTCTGATCAAAGGAACAGTTAACCAAGAAGATATTATAATCCTTAACA